GGAAGGAAGGAAGGAAGGAAGGAAGGAAGGAAGGAAGGAAGGAAGGAAGGAAGGAAGGGACTTAGGAAGGAAAGGAGGGAGGGGACTGAGAAAGGAAGAAAGGAAGATTATAATGAGAGTGAGGGAGAGTCTGAGGGAAGTCTAGCCTTAGCCACAGGTGCCCCTGACACAAGTGACATCGAGCTGGCCATCCCCCCCCTCCCCAGCCTCCCAAGGTCAAACAACCCTGATGCAACCTTCAGTGAAATTGAGTTTGACACCCTGTTCTAGTCCAACCCCATCCTCAGGTGAGAGACCCGATATCATTTCAGACAAACAGTCGTCCCATCTCTTCTTAAAAACCTCCCATGATGGAGCACCCACAACTTCTGGAGGTTTGGCCTTTGAGATTCCTTCCTTGTGTCCCTTGGAGATGTTTAAGGACATGAAGACTGGACTCTTGGAGTGGGTATTTAAAACGACACCATGGGGCAACATTGAAGGCTCGTACCCATAACGGTGCCCTGTGATTGCCCTGCGTTGGCACAGCATCACCGAGGGTCCCTAACCATTGTGCAGTTTGATTCTTCTCTCTGTCTCTTCGCCTCCTCCTAACTCCAGGGGACAACCGGTTGAAGAAGAAGCCCCCTCCCCTGGGAATGCTGATGGACCACCGGAAAGAAGATTTCTCCTTGTTCAAAGTTTCTGACAACGAGTACAAAGTAAAAATCTCCCCTCAGCTACTCCTGGCTACCCAGCGCTTCTTATCTCGAGGTAAGACCATGGAAGAAAAGGTGTCTTATTGTAGAACCACTCTTGCTTACCCTACTTTTCAGAGTATAAGATATACTCCCCCCCCTCCCCCCCAAAAAGAGGGTGGAAATGTCGGTGCGTCTTATAGAACGAATACGGTCATTTTTGGCCTCCTGAAACACTGGTGGGTTCCGGATCTCGGTGCAACCAGTATGGTGCAAAGGGGCCAGGCGTCCACCACATGAACACACGCAGCTCACACACACGCAGTGCGCAAATGTGTACTTACCACCTGTGATGCTGCAGCTGCTTAGCGGAGCGTCGTGCAGGCCCTATATGCTCTATGTGCAGAAGCCCCGAAAACCTCAAATACCGGTAAGGAGCACGGGCGGGCGAGCCCTCAGAAGCACCGTACTGGAACGGCACCTGGTGCTCCCGGCAGGCACCGGTATGCCCATACTGGGGCGTACCAGTTGTAACCCATCATGTCCTGAAACTATGCCCCATGTGTCCTGTTTTCGTGAAATTATTTGCAAAAATGGAACGTGCGGGGGGTTTGGGAGGCTTACAGAGTGCTCCTAGGGGCCAGGGTGGGAAAAAATGGGGTGGGGGTGGGGGGTTGGGAGGCCAAAAACAGGCCTGTTTTTTTGCAAAAATGGTTTGGGAGGCTAGGGAGGGCAAAACTTTTCTTTTTTTCCTCTTCAAAATCTTGATGCGTCTTATAGTCCGGTGTGTCTTATAGTCCCAAAAATACAGTTGTTTTATTTTATTTATTTGTATCTTGCCTTTATTATTTTTTACAAATAACTCAAGGCAACAAAGATCCTCAAAATAACTCATGGCAACAAACTCTGACACAACTTCCTAATCCCCTTTTCTTCTACAATAACAACCCTGTGAGGTGTGTTGGACTGAGAGAGAGATTTATGTCGATTGCTTATTTAGTATCCCTTGACTATCACTAAGCACTGTATCTTATGATTGATGATGAATGTATTTTTAGGATGACTATGATGATGATTTATCCCTTAGAGATTTCATGTACACTGAGAGCATATGCACCAAAGACAAATTCCTTGTGTGTCCAATCACACTGGACCAATAAAGAATTCTATTCTATGAAGAATTCTATAAAGAATTCTATGAAGAATTCTATTCTATTGAGTTGCCAAGATATGCAGACTCCTGCTTTAAAAAAACAAACTGACTCTCTTTTTTCAAAAATACGATGCATCTTTTTCCCCTGCCTCTCCTGTTGCCACCCCCCCCTTCCCCTTCTCCTCCAGAGGTGGATCTCTTCAGCCCAGGCCGAATCTCGGAGAAGGTCCTGTTGCATCTCCTGCAGCACCCCAGCGTCAACCAAGAAGTGAAGTTTGATGACTGCAACCGCTTGGCCGCTGAACATTACTTGTATCAACGCAACCAACCGGTCAATTACTTTGTGCTCATCCTGCAGGTACTCTATGTCTTGGGGCGTGCACAGGGAGGGCTTGAGGGAGGGTGGGAGGCCCGGGTTCAAGACCCAGGTCGGAGGCTAAAGCAACTTCCGAGAAATGAGGCCAACGTCTAGCAAACTTAGCACGTAGCACTTAGACTTATCTACTGCTTCACAGTGCTTTTACAGCCCTCTCTAAGTGGTTTACAGAGTCAGCTTCTTGCCCACAACAATCTGGGTTCTCATTTGACCCACCTTGGAAGGATGGAAGGTTGAGTCAACCTTGAGCCTGGTGAGATTCGAATTGCCAAGTTGCAGGCAGCCGGCAGTCAGCAGAAGTAGCCTTCAGTACTGCAGTCTAACTACTTCGCCACGACGGCTCAAACAATGCAACCAGGCAGACCCAGCTCAGGAGGAGCATACGTTCACGTGAAGTGAGGAGTACTTCCAGTAGACGATCATTGGTCACAGATGGGCCAATGGGCGCCACACTGAACAAGGAGTTGGACTACATCAGGGGTGTCAAACTCAAGGCCCGTGAGCCAGATGCAGCCCGTGGGGTGCTTAGGTCTTAGCCCGCGGCCCTCCCAGGCTCCATTTTCACCCGTGACGGCCTCCTGTAGCCCTCTGCCAGCAAAATGGAGCCCGGGGTGGGTGGAGCATATTTAAATATAATCTTAAGACTTGTGGACTTAACGCCCAGAATTCTCCAGCCAGCAATACTGGAAGGCAGAATGAAGAATAATATATGTGGGAGGACTGCACCACTGTATAAATGGGGAGGCATGGAACCGACCACTTTCAATCCTTCCATAAAACCTACGCAACTGGAAGACCTTCACATTAGCGCTTAGTTGGTCTTCGTTTACAAGGCTAATTTTGCTCAATGGTTAAAATAAAAGGGATGCCATCTGCGGCATCGCTTCTTACCCAGAATTCAAAATGGTCCAGTCCATTGTTCCCATTTGCTGACATGCCCTTTCTGGCGCATAAGCAGAAAGCCAGCACAGGACTTCCCATCTCCTGAATCAAAAGCCTGAAATGCTGCTCTTCGGCCACTGGCATTTTTAATCTCTCTGGGCTGGGATAAGTAGCGAGTCCTAATGCCACATGGGAATGAGAATGGGAATGGAGAAGAGGTGAGATGCCAAGCCAAGAGGAGGATGGATTGCTGAGATAGAAGGATTAGATTGTGTTCTCTGCCTTCAGTGGGCTCTGGAAACTCGTTATTCAATCCATAGCACAATTCCTATGTTGGATCTACGGTAGCATTGATGTTCTCCATAACAAGGTCAATGGCAACTCATCACAGCCAACTTCATCATCATCATTTAATGACCTCATAATCCCTTGTGGGGTGGAGTCTTGGCAACTGAATGGAGCTAGCAGAGTGTTGAATGGCTGGATGCCTTTCCCTGTCGCCAGTGCAGAGCTTTGTTTCAGCAGATATATTCTCATTGTACCCAGAGAGAGAAATATCTGCCTCTACCTAGGATTGAACTTACAGCCTCCTGATTTGTGAGGCGAGAGGTCACCGCAACACTCCTCACCACAGCCAACTTTGACGCAGCCAATTCGCCACAGGGCAGCTCGCCACGGGACAAAGAGTTACACTAATATCGAAGAAATAGCGGAATAGAGCCATGAAAGAAAGGATGTCAAAGGAAGGACAACAGGAAATAAGACTAAAATCAAAATATTGTTTAAATTATTTTAAAGAATTTAATTGAATTGTCCTGTGGCGAGTTGTCCCGCATTTAATTGGCTGTGGCAAGTTGTCCCATTTCATCCATAAGGTACAGGGAAGGTTGAATCCAGCATATATGTCCATGCTTTATCTGTCTATAAGATACGTCTGTCTGTCTGTCTGCCAGGCTCTCTTGTCCTCCACAGTCTCCCTGAGTTTACCCAAATTCATGTTCATTGAGTTGATGACACTATCTAACCATCTCACCCTCTTCCGTCCCTTTCTCCTTCCTCTTTCCCAACCTCAGGGTCTTCTCTAAGAAGCCTTCTCTTCTCATTTGGTGGCCAAATATTTCAGCTTCAGGACCTGTCCTTCCGAAAGACAGTCAAGGTTGATTTTCCTTTAGGAAAATACCCTATTTTTCAGAGTATAAGACACTCTGAAGTATAAGACATACCTAGCTTTTGGGGAGGAAAACAAGAAAAAAAATCTGCCTCTGCCTCCCAGCAATTTGCCTCCTTGCAGCAAACAGTCTGTTTCAGTTTAGCCTGATTAGCACAGGGGGAGGATCTGCCTTTGCCTCCCCACAATTTGCCTCCTTGCAGCAAACAGCATGTTTCAGTTTCAATTTCAGCACAGCCTGATTAGCACAAGCAGCTGATTCTCAATTGTATCGGCCTCCCAACAATCAGCTGTTTCAGGCTGCAGGGATTGCCATACCCTATTGCCACCTTCCTGCGCCCTGTTTTCGGCCTCTGCGCACCCCACTTTCCACCGGTTGGGGGTGGTGGAGATCGGAATGGATGGGAAATGGGGCAGATGGAGGCCGAAAAAGGGGCATACGGAGGCGGCAATAGGATATGGCAATCCCTACATCCTGAAACAGCTGATGGTTGCGAGGCCGATCCAACCGATAACCAGCTGCTTGTGCTGAAACCGAAACAGGCTGTTTGCAGCAAGGAGGCAAATTGCTGGAAAGCAGAGGCCAAAGGGTTGGAGCAGGTTGGCGGGGCTACATTCAATGTATAAGACGCATCCAAATTTTCACCTTCTTTTAGGGGCGGAAAAGTGTATCTTATACCCCGAAAAATATGGTGTAACAATTGTGGGGAATTACGGCCATGTACGATTTTCTCCACAGAATCGAGTTGGAAGGCTCCCTTGGTCATGGCAGCATGCCGTTTTAATTTCTCGTAATTAATCAAGTTGGCTGATTTTTTTTTATTGCCTGCCCAAAGGAAACCATGGGTTACACATGTTAAAATGATAAAAACAGCAATAGAAACAGACTGAAGGTGGAACTGCCAAAGCAACATATCTCAGGTTGAAAGCGCAGAGAAACAAAACTTTATAAAGAGATAAAAAGTCGAGGGTTGAGAACTTGACAGACTTAGGGGTGGGTGGGTGGGTGGGGAGTCCCAAAATGGGGACCCACACATAGAAGATCTGTGGTCCTGTCCACGTCCCCTTCCCTCATTTTTCACAGGGAACTCTTTTTTTAATGCATATATTTTTTATTCTTTTTGTATGTATGTATGTATGTATG